TACCTGCTCTCAGGAGTGCAGAGTTTTGCTGTGTACAAATGATGAAGCTAAGCATGGTGGTGCATGCTTGTAATCCCAGCAGGCAGGAGAATCAGCAGAGGCCAGGCCGAATAGCAGAGCCAAACCCTGTCTCCAAAGACAGGGACAGATAATAAGCAGATTACCTTGATGAGTACATGTGAAGTGTCACGACCTTTACATGTAGATATGTGGGGTGCTTTGGAGGCTGTGTGTGGTTTTGGTCATGGGCTTGAAATATTTAGTGCAAATCAGAAGGGTGTGAAGTGTAAAGTGTATATTTATGTACATATACCCACATACATAATCACATTAAACACAAGAGGAGAGGCATAATGTTCTGTTTCTATTTTCAATGCTCTTGAGAGCATTGAATGATGGATGGTTCAGGGTACCATTTCCAAAGTGGGACTGCTTGGATTCAAAGCCTGCCCTCACCTCTTACTAACAATGACTGGGCAAATGATTCTTCTAGTTCATTTCCATCACTGGCAAAACAGAGATATAATGAAAGCATTTCCTCCTCAGATTGATTGGGAAATCTCAGCTGGGCTTGTGTGTGTGACCTATGGATCCTCCGTGTCAGCTCTCACCAGCCTCGAATCACTTTGTTTTGCAGCACAGGAAGAGCACAGGCTCCCTCCTTCACTTGCCTGTCTATGAGTCAGCAAGAGATGTAACCGTTCTGATCACGGTTTCCTCATCCGTGAGAGGAGATAACAGCACCTTACCACATGAGATTATTCACAAGGTTAATGAGATAGCAGACTTCTTGACAATCCATGGACTTTCCAAGAACGGCCTTCACTTCTCTTCCCTTTTCCCCTTTCCTTAAAATTACAAATGATTTGAGCTAGTGTGGTGAAAAAGAAAGAGAAGAAAAGATTAAAGGATATTCTGGACAATTGACAGTAAAAATATGATGTAGTACATCTTCAAGGTTATTTAAACATCTGAAAACTTGTTCTTTTAAACAAAAGCTCTACAAACTTTTGTAGAGAATGATTGATCCTCTTTTATTATTTTTTGATCTTTTATCTGTTAGTGTGAGACATTGAAAAGGAACTAAGTGACTTATAGATCTCTGAAGGAACTGCTATAAAACCCTAAAATCTACTTTCTTTAGTTATTTTTATTACAAGTCGAAGTATGTTTTGAGGCTATATGCTGTCCTTCATAAAAGGGGAAGAACAATCAATGGAAAGAAAAAGAAATCTAGCTTGGTATAGTGACACACACCAGTAAATCCCAGTTACTCCAAAGGCTGAGGCAGGAGGATCCAAAATTCAAGGCCAGTCTGGATAATTTAAATGAGTCCCTGTCTAAACAACAAGCAAACAAACAAACAAACAAAAGAACAAAGAATTTGGAGGCAGCTCAATGGTAGAGTGTTTGCATAACACTTGTGAAGCCCTGAGTTCAATGCCCAGCACTATCTAGAGGAGAAAAGAATCGGGGGTGAGGGAGAAACCTGCAGTGTTATCAGGAAGGAAGGAAGCTGGCCTTGGTTCCTCCTTTGTAATGACAGCACTGTGTGAAGCTGAGGCAGGAGGATCACACGTTGGAGCCCACCTCAGGCAATTCAGTGACTTAATGAAACTGTCTCAAAATCTAAAAATTAAAAAACTAAAAGGGCACAGGAATGCGGGACCTACTGGACCGGTGTGACTCAGGCGCTGGTTGGATATATCACCCTTCTCTTCTCTTTCCTCTTCTCTCTTTCTGCTTCCTTACTCAGACTCAAAAGAACAGTTTTAGGTTAATTTCCCCAACTCTTTTTCTAAAGCACTGAGGAAACTAACAGTCCCAGGAGGGGAAATTCAGAGCATTTCACAATCACAAAGTTCTTAATAATAATAATAATAATAGTGATGATAATGACAATAGCACAAAGCAAAAAAGGAGTCCCATTCAGGGCATCACTTCCACACTATCATTTTTTTTTCACCTGAGATTCCTTATTTTGCCCAGCCAGTTTCATTTAAATTCAGCTTTTTCTCTCTGTCCATTGGCTGAAATTACAGGGAGGTGTGGGCCTGGAGACAGACCTGAGGGGCACACAGAGCAGGAAAACCAGTGGGATTTTTCTCACATAAGCTTCCTCTGCCAGAACTCTTGCATCTCCAAGTCATTGGATGTAAATACTTGGGGGGATGGGGCAGGGAGGGGAATTATGTTTTCTGTCTACCAAAATATCTGTCCTCCCAGGTTTAGCGTGGTGTGGTCAGGGTGTCCCTTCTCCAGTTTCTCTGGTCTGAGTCCACATGTGGGGGCAGGGTAAGGGTTGGACCAAATTGCTGGGTATTCTCGCATGTGTCAGGACCCTGCTGCACTGTGACTTTAACAGTGAGCTTCCTAGAGGAAGGGACAATTTTTACATTAGAGCCACCAGAGTCCCTGAGCCCAGTGGCCATCCCCCTGAGACAGCTTTGGTACCCTCTCTCTAAGTCCTCTAAGGGCTGTCTCACCACTTCACTAATTAAACAAGTCTGACCCTGCAGTTATTTGAGTTTTCACACCCTGAGACACTGGGGTCCTTACACTAAAAAGCTGGGACCGTGCGTGTGTGCAGACAGGCTCATTTTCAGCTCTGAGTTGACAGGTGTGGACTGGCCCTGCTGCCAGTTTACTTCCTCTATGACACATATGTTCAGCTCCTTCCCTGCAGGACACATGTAAACTTTTAAACATCATTCTGTGATTTTTAACGCCTTTCTTCTTCTTCTTTTGGTCTGGAGATTAAACCCAGGGCCTTCCTGCTGAGCTACATCCCCAACCTTTTTCAAATTTATTGAGAGAGACAGTTTTGCTAACTTGCCCAGGCAGGACTTCCCATCTTCCCAGAATGTGGGATTACAGCTGTGTGCCACCCCGTCTGACTGATTTGTCACCCATTCAAGGTGCTTGAGCCTGGATTGTATAGATGCTGAGTGCACAGGGTGCCCACATGTGTCATATGTTACATGTGATTGTGTGACTTTTGGAAAATGCAGCAATAACACTATTTGTACTTATGACAGGTATGCAAGCCTGAAATATACACATTTATTAAGCAGACACAGACATTTTCCTGTTTGGCTATTAAACTTGGGCTTCTGTTAATTTGTAAATAATTTACTAAGTTAAAATATTAAAATAATAGTTTACTTTATATGTGGCCCCAAACTCCTTGTTACTCAGTATGGCCCAGGCAAGCCAAAAGTTTGTACACCCACATCCCCAAAGAAATCTGAGGAAATTTAGTGTGTGTAAAAACGGGTATGTGGCAAAATTTCACAAATTAGTAGGTGATGTAGAAATATTTTTCAAGCAGGATTTGCTTATTCTCAAGATATAATTTCATGTCTGTTAGTCTGATTCACAACCAAAATAACATGTGCTCTGAAGGGCCTATTTGAATCAAACAAAAAGTCTTCTAAAACGTCTTTTATGTAAGCAGATAGAGAAAGCACACAAATGTCAGTGAGTAGCTCCGAACATCATCACAAAGTGGACAGGTCAGTAATCACAGCCCAGGTGGAAAGCAGCTCACAAGAAGCAGCCTGTCAGGTGCCTTTTCTCTTCAGAAAGGTGTCCACATCACAGTGTCCACATCATAGTCTGTGCATATTTTTTTCTTCCAGAAACTATTTTTAGAGCTACTTTCCATTCATTCTCACTGTTATCTAGTATTTTTTTCTACTCTTTCTTCTTTTCAGAGAGAATCAGTGCTTTTGATTCAGCACTGCTGTGGTCATTCTCTTCCCATAACGTGAAAATTAGCTAGATAGAAAGGAGTAGCGCAGGGCAGAGGGGATGAACTCCACCCTGTGAGTTCAGGACTATCAGAACGCACGCCAGTGTGGCCAGGGCCCCAGGTTATTTTCAATTGTCATCTACATCGACTTTACCCCGTGATGCAAACGTGACTCTGCGAATCTCTTGGTGTTTCGCAGAGGGAAACAGGTTCCGGAAGTTCAGGCAGTTTAATCTGGATTTCGGAAAGGAATCCCTTGCAAGATGTAGTCCTTGTCTTAGTCAGAACGACAGCTTTAAACGTGTAAAGGGATTTCCCGTCAAGGGAGCAGATGGTCCTTGTCCCCTTTGAGAAATCAGAAAGTACGAGCTGCTTCCTAGAAAAACGCGCGTGTACACAGCACCGCCGAAAAGCGCGTCTTCCCACGGGGTGTGGGTGGCACACCCGGGGGACGGCCGGTTCCTAGGGACTGTCTCCAGCCTGCTACGGGCTGACTCCGGGAGTGCCCCGCGCGGCACAGTTGGCTCGGCTGGGGGCAGACTGACGCCCTCGGACGCCGCCACCTCTCCCGAGCACGCTCTGCGCGCCCGCCGCGGGACGCCCTCCTTCCCCGCGGAGCTGTCACAAAGCGCAGCGCTTGGCATCCCCGCTCCCCGCGGCCAGAAGCCCTGACTTTACAAAGTTCTGGTGCCCATTTCTCCGGGACCACTGCCAGCCGGGTAGACAGCTCGGGCCAGGAGGGCGCCCGGGGGCCCTGGGAGCCGGGGAGACGCGGGGAGCTTGCATTCGTTTCAGGACCGGGCCCCCCACTAAGGCGCGCGGTCCTCGGCGCGCTGGGCTACTGCGCGCGGTGGGCACCGGGGACACTCGTGCGCGCCGGCCGGGAGCGCGCCAGGCCGGGGTGCCCACCTGGCTCGGGCCGAGCAGTGCCCTCCCTCCCGCCGGGCCCGCAGCCGCGAGAGCAGGCGCAGCGCCCCTACCGCCCGCTTTTCCGCCTCCATCTCCTCCTCCGCCTCCTCCTCCTTCCCCCAGCCACCCGCTCAGTCACAACCGGTTCAGACTGGCCAGGGTGCCCCGCAAAGAAGAGAGACGGGAGGGAAAAACAAACTTCCCGGAGAGGAGGAAGAGGGCGAGAAGGTGGAGCCCGAGGAGGGGCAGGCTCCGCCGCTCCATGTGGTCACGGCCGCCGCGGGGCTCGGCGGGGCGAAGGGCGGCGGCCCCCGGGGCAGCGCCTAGCGGACCGATTGCCCAATACCGCGGCCCGGCCAGGCCGGGATAAATAGCGCGCGCGGCACTGAGGCCAGAGCGGCGCCGCGGTCGCCGGTCCATCCGCCCGGCCCGCCCGGGCACCGCGCCCCGTGCTGCGCCCGGAGCCCCCGGCACGCAGGTAACTGCAGCTCGCGGAGGGTCCCCAGGCCGGCGGCGCCCCGCTGCCCAGCCTCCCCGAGGCAGAAGTCCCTCCTCTGAGTCTGAGCAGAGGGAACAGGCGACCGCGACCCTGACGCGCGCGGCCGAGCAGCTAGTAACCAGTTTCTTGTTTGGGGTGCAGCCTAAGGGCTCGCGCCCACCCCTCCACGCTTTCCATCCTAATGGAGTTTTTCTTCGCGGGGGGCAAAATTTCCCGGGAATCTGAGGGCTGCATTTTTCAGGGAGTAGAAAAAAAAAATAGAAGAGGAATACTAGTGGTGGTGGTGGGAGTGGGGGTGGTGGGGAAGGTGTCCCCAGATGTGGCTGAGGGTGGAGAACTATCCTGGGGTTACTGACACAGCTTCTGGGATTGCAGATGGGAGAACAGAGGAGGATGTGATCCAGGTGGGTTTCTATGCCCCTGAGGGCCGCTGGGCCTCCAGCTGCCAGAGCAGGGACCTGTGCATGCAGGTGCCCAGATGAGAGTTGTTGGGACAGTCCTGGTGAATCTGAGCTGTTTTTTAAAAGAAAGGCGTCTGGAAGGGCCAGACAGGCTCTGCCCCGTGGAATCTGGTTCATTCATTCAGCACCACCAGGTCAACCCGGGTGAGCGCAGGAGTCCAAATTTGCCTTGACCACGGGAGCCATTGTTACCTTAGCCACCTTTACCCAGAGCGGAACTTGGGAGGACTTGATGCTTATTTTCCATTTCTGGCTCACCCTAGGTTCCCTGCCAAGCAGTGCCCAGAGGCTTCCCAGACAGAGACAGCTGGCAACTTTTAAAACATGACTGTCAGAGGAAAGCAGTGTTGTAGTCTTAGGATGCCAAATCTATCTAGCACAAATGATTCCGGAAGTTTAGGCAGCATTTACACCAAATATGTTATTTGTAGCATATGTTACTTAATACAACTTCTTTGGGACCAATTTACAGGGCCAATGTTTGGGTGTATTTTTTAAATATCTTGAATAGTTTATAGTTTAAATTGAGGGTGGATTCCCATGCTCCATCCCCACCCTGCAACTGATAGCATCCTCTTAGAAATTGTCCAGAGCACTATAGGTGGATGACTGAGGAAGCTAGAGAAGATTATGGAGTGGAAAGGCAGATTATTCACTACATGATTATAGCCTCTTTTAAGTAATATGTAAATATAGGTTTAGCACCCATATCATTACCAGAAGCACGTTTCCCCCACAAGGTTTTGGAAGTAGAAATTAGATAGTAAATTTGTTTAACCTGAATTTTTGCAGCAAGTCATGTTGTCAGCACCAGCATATCCTAAGATCATCCTGGTTTGTGTGTATGCAAGTGGGATAACAGGGCTCCTTCCTTCCCACTGGATGAGTATGGGGGTAGGGGTGGGCAAAAGGTGTTGATAAGATAGATCAAGACAGTGGGAAATCTTTGCTGACCTCAGATGTTGACTCTGAAAAGCTAATGACAATGATATTAGTGTAAATGTGTCTGAGTCCTTTATCAGGACAGATTGTAGTACTTCAGGGTGGATCTGGCCATGGAACTAGAGCTGGATGTTGACAATTAGACAGATGTCAGATCTTCAGATTTTGCTCGCACATCCCATTCTTTTAAACTCATCTTTTGTATAGTCTTTTTCTACAGTGAGATATTTCTTGACCTTCCTTCACAGAACACAGTTGCATACAGAAGGCTTGTAGGAAGATGAACTGAAACAAAGTCTTGCTTGAAAAACTATAACCTTCCAGGAAAAGAATCACCTGTTGACTTCAGTTTTAAGCAAAGATTACAAAAATGGGTATTTTTAGATATCCAATGTTTTCTTTGGGAGGTTCTTCTTAGACACCTTGTCTTTCTCGGTAGATAAGGGATTGGACTGTACACAGTAAAGTCCTAATCCCCCCTATTCAACAGATTGAGGCAAGAGGAATCACAAGTTAGGTCATTTTGAGCAACTTAGTGAAACTTGGTCTCAAAACAAAAATGAAAAGGGGTTGGATAAGTTAGCTCAGTGGCAAAGGAGCCCTATTTTCCGGTACAAATATAAGAGGACTGTGCTCTGGGAGTAGAGGCAGGAGGATTGCAAGCTTGAGTCCAGCCTGGCCAATTTAGCAGCTTAAAAAGATCCTGTATCAAAATAAAAACACAAAAGGGGATTTAGCTCAGGGCAAAGATTTGGGGTTCAGTCCCCAGTACTTGAAAAAACAAAAAACATTGAGTTCAAGGAAAGAAAGCATGGTCCGTTTCCTTCAAAGTGTTTAGTGAGGAAAGATAGGGATGCTTCCAAATCTCTGTAATGCAAGACAGTTTAATTGGAATCATAGAACAGCAACATCAATAGGGTGCTATTGAATGACAAAGAAAAGTGGGGGTTCATTCAGGGTTCAAAACTGAGAAGAGTTTTGTGGTGGGTGCTGCATTTCAGCTGGGATTTGAAAAGGGAAGGGAGTTCACTGGTGACAAGGAGGCCTGCTAGAATAGAGAATAGAGTGGAAGTGTGGATGTCTGGTGTATTCAAAGAAAGCAAAGCAGTTTGGAGTACAGTCTGAGCCTGGAATTTAAGTCTGGGAGGTGAGATGGGGCTAAAATAGGAGTACATGACAAATTGTGGTAAGAAATTAAAATGGGATTGAACATTATTACTATATTAATATCAACAATCTCAGCATCCTTAACTGTACTTTTTATCTGAAGTTCAGGTTTCCTAAAATAAGTGAAAAGACTTCAGTGACATTTGTTTCTTATCAATATTGCTGTAAGATCAAGAATTCCAAATCTTCAATGCAGAATTCCAGTCTTCAATCTTCAGTCTTCTTCAAGTTCAGCATTATTTTTGCTCTAAACCTGTAATCTTGTGATATAACTCTTTTTAGCTTGATTCAAACTTTAGATAAGAAAACACCTCCCTTTTCCTGGTCAAAGAAAGAGTAAAGCCGCTTTCTATTATTTTGCTTTAATTGTAATAAAATAGCAATTGTTAATGTTTAATAAATGTGTTATGTCAAAGGAGCCACATTATCCGATGAGGCATTATTTGATTTTAGATTAAATTTTTGATAAAGTCACTCGATTAAGTGAATGGTTAGACCAGAATTTGGGCCAAACAGGCTACCTTCAGAGCTTGTGTTTCGAATTATTGTGTTAGCACATAATAAAGGCATTGTACATAGTAACTTAAATTAATAGTAGAAGTTGGACCCAGTGGCTGTAGGAGGAATATTCCTCTATGGTTTTTCTTTGTGTCCTCCTGACTCTAATTAATTTCACACTACACATTCAATGGTAGGGCATATTTCAGTGTCTTCATATGCTTTAAAACTATTACATGATCTCACTTGTTAGTAACCCACTCAAAATAAACTGAAGTTCTTTGGGAAAAGACAGAATATGGGATGGCAAAAATATTAGCAAATGTGATAGCCTTACGTATGAAGACCAACCAGAGTCTTAATTTCTAATATTCTTATTATTCCCAATAAGCCCCTAAATGCACCAGGTATTTTTGCATTTTGGCATCTCACCTACATCTCCATGCTTTGATTTTCTTATTCTGAAGGTACACATGGCATACTAAAGTTGACAGATTGGACTTTATGTAATTAGGTATTAACTGTTCAAAACATATACTTAGCGACTCTCCTTACAATCCTCATTTTCTCACCATACTACTATCCTTGACCAACCTCTGAGGATGGATCGAAGTGGAGACAAGCTGTAGCATGAGCCAGGTGGTAGAGTGGGGGTGGTAAGGGTGTAGGATGCAGATGACAGTAGCAACTTGTATTTGTGTCTGTGGCTCTCATTTTGCCTATACTTAATGCTGACCTCTCTAAATCTTTCCATGTATTCTCAGACTCTGAAGAGTTTGCAAATCCTGCTGTTTTCTCATCTGATCTAATGGATTTAGAAATTCATGACTGTTCATGGGATTAATGACTAAGGGATCTTTTTTTAACCTTATTCAATGTGGGATTATTTTAAATTATTATCATAATAATGTATTTGAAAGTACAGGTGAATATTCATGTGTTAAAGGAAGATATGCTGACAATTTATTGCTACTCCTACCTCCACATATTATCATAATTAATATTTTTATGTTTTATTTCTTAAAATTTTTCAGTTTTAATAGTACATGTTTGCAGTATATAATGATTACACTCACGGTAGGGAATTGGAACATGGACATAATACATTTCAGTTCTTTTTTCCAGCCCTGTTTTATTTTGCCAACACCAGAATTATTATCTTATAAGGTCTTGTAAGTCTTCTTCAAGCTAGTTATCATACATACATATTAATAGCCAGACTAACAGGCCAAAAATGATATAAAACATGACAATTATACTAAATCAATGTATACTTTGAGATATGTTATCTATACTGGATTACAATAACTTTTCCCCCTATTATCTGGCTTTTATTTTGTATTGCAGGTATATATTGGATTTCTCATATAAGAGAAGCCTTGTGCTACTGTCTGATTTACTTCACTTAGCATTATGATCTCAAGGTGCATTATTTTCCTGCAAATGACTTGAATTTTCCCTTCCTTATGACAAAGTAGTACATCATTGTGCATAAATACAATATTTTCTTTATCTGCTCATCTGTTGATGGACAAATAAGCTGTTCCCAAAATTTAGCAACTGTAGATTATGCTGCTATAAGCATGGGTATGCATGCATCACTGTGGTATGATATCTCTAACTCTTTTGGGAAGATATGTAGAAGGGAAATAGCTAGATCAAGTGGCATTTCTATTTTTAGTGTTTTGAGGTCTCTCCATACTGATTTCCAAAGTGGTTGTACCAGTTTACAGTTGTCAACATTGAAGACAAGTTCCTTTTTCCCTTATACTCTTACTAACATTTGTTATTGGTTGATTTCTTGATGGTAATCATTTTTTTTCTGGAATAGGTGGAATCTCAGTGTTATTTTAATTGTATTTTTCAAATGGCTAGCAATGTTGCACATTTTTTCATGTATTTATTGACCAT